AAGCTAAATTGCTGATTTCATTTGAGTTAGGCATGGGTTTAGTTCTTTAAAAATGCCTATTACTATAGTCCATGCACATGGTGTTTAATTTATAGTGGACTTGAAGAGGTGACAAACAACATAAACTACAAGTATCCCCCACCCTTGCTCCTGCACTAACCTTTGGGTGTTGCACCCACGAGACCCCACCGCCCTGCCATCATGCCACCACCCTGGAATGCTTCTTCCCTGGGCTGCAGAGCTCATGCACTGGTGAAATCAACTACCACACCAGCCCTGCCCTTTGATTACTCGTGTGTTTTAAATAGTAATACTGAACTAACGTTTAGGAATAAATGAGTAGCCCTCTAACTGATGTTTAGTGTAATGTCTCTTGGCAATGAAATACAAATAAAAACTGAGCTGATTTTATGACATAAATGTACGACTTTAAACACTTAATCTATTGCTATAAATCAACAGTGCCATGCATCTCATCACCAGCATTGTTAGCTAAATGTAAAACTCTGGCCCTGTTTCTAGGATATTCCATCAAACTGCGAGACTGTATCTTATTATGAAAATAAAGTTATTGAATTGTTAGAAACATTGTTCTCTGTGACAAAATGATGATGGTTGTAATACTTCATAACAGGGCAGAAGTGAAAGAGAGCTGATGAAAAAGATGAGATTTTTGAAACATCTTAATGACTATAAAAAGTAACCGTTTTAATCCTGGCTGGGCAGCTCAGTTGGTTGGAATGTTGTCTCATACACCAAAAGGTTTCGGGTTTGAAACCTGGTCAGAACATATACCTAGGTTGTGGGTTTGATCCCTCATTAGAGCATATATGGGAGGCAACCAAAGGATGTTTTTCTCACATTGATGTTTCTCTCTCTCCTCACACTCCTATTTCTGTCTCTCTAAAACCAATAAAAATATAGCCTTGGGTGAGGATTATAAATATATATATATATGTGTGTGTGTGTGTGTGTGTATGTATATATATGTATATTAATTTTAAATCCATTTTTACTAAGCTACTTAGGACATTATGTTTTTCTGTCATTTCAAAAGCAAAGAATAAAAAAGGCTTTATTTTCTCAAGTGATGAGCATGTTATCTGTACAGTATTGATAGAATTGCTTAGTCCAGGATGCTTGAAAATGGACTTGAGAGTCTAACAGAAGATTTTTTAGCTACATATGATAAGTGGCCTTTCTATACTGCCACTAAATACATAAAATAATAAAAGAAACACACCTATGTGAAAGTTGACCTTTAATTTAAGAGTAATTTCACTAAATTAAAACTTTGTGTTTATGGCTTTTGATCTCTCTCCTGTAAGATAAATGAGGCAATTTCACCCTCTCTGTATGTTGCATTTTCATAATGAGCTTCATATCTAATTAGGTTTTTTTTTATATTTTGGGGGAAATGCACTACCAATTCACATTTTATTTGTTTTGTTTTCTGTTTGCTGCATTACAATTACTTAGCAGACAAAAGCTAAAACATAAAACATGTACACCAGAAAAAAAAATTTGAAGGAAAATACTTTTCTAGAAATTACTTATTAGAAAGTTCAGAACTTGGAGAACTAAATATTAACTAAATTTCAAGACAAGAATGGTTCTTTACTTGAGCAAAAATCTCCAAATAGTTCATATTTCCCTGAGGATATGTAAAAGGAGCAAGAAAATGCCTGGTAAATATGAGTTAATTTATTCATTTTTACCTGAACTTCTAATATGTAAGCACTTCAAATATTAAACTGACACGTGTAGACTTACAATAAAATTCATTGAAATAGGTTTTACTATATCAATGACTTAAAATTATAATAGTATGAAGAATTTTTTTAGTAGGGCATTTGTTATCATACCAGTCACAAAGCCTGTTTATGAATACAATAGCTAGACTTTGGTTTGAACATTTCACAGTAGTTTAAATGCCCAGTTTTCTTATTTTTAAAGTTCAAAGCTGTATGTTTTCTCTGACAAATTTGAGTTTGAATTATTTAGATCATTTTCTAATGTGAGCCATAAAAATAAATAGCATACATGCTTAAATGCATGTGTGTGTTTTTTTCATTTCTACAACCTAAAGACCAGTTGGGTTGAAAAAAAATAAAATTTAACAGCTTTTAATTTGTCATGTGGAATCTGATTCTATGTGCTTTTTATAACCTCTATATATTTACCTAAGTGAAGCATAAAATGGTTGTAATAATAGAGAATTTAAAGCAGCTTTTGCACATGAGCAGTAATGCTAACTAATGTGGTGAATAAAAACTGAATGTAAATTCTCAGAATTTCTGTTTCTTGTGTTTACTAAGGTGTATCTTGGTTAGCTGATATAACTCCTCATCATCCTCACTAAGCTATAGAGAACTTTGATGGATAGAATGGGAAGAAATAAGGAGTAATTATTTATATACAATCAAAAGCCTCACATTTATATTTAATTTTTAAACTGCAATATAATATATATTAGATCACAGAACCTGTAAAAATATAAGGTCATAGCCTTTCTTTTGCTGGAGTAGTGCTCAGGTGTGCCATGCATGCTTCCTGAGACAACCGAGGAATGGTGGAATCAGTATAATCTGAAATCACCACTTCCTATTTATTCCACTTCATTTTGTCTCTTGATTTGAGCTTCTCTTCATTTCCCTTGTGAACTTGGTTTAGGCCTTTAATTATTCCATCAGCCACATTTCTGTCCATAATACCAGCTTTTCAACATTCCAGGCTACTTGTTCATTTCTGCTGACTTATTTACCCATGTGACAAAGCTGGTCATGTCACTCCACTGCTAATAAATTTCTGTCAGCATCCTAGCAATCAGTCATTTCAATTCCAAACCCTTGAACTTGGCCTGCATGTTCTGAATCACACCCTTGTTAGCTTACAGTCAGCATTCTCTTAAGTAGTTGCACACCTATCAACATTCAGTCTTGTCTCCTCTTCTTCCTGTGTGCCTCCTTCTAATTACCTATTAAAATGTCATCTCTTCTAAAGCTCTCTGAACTCCCTAAGGTAACAGTAGTTGATTCCTTAAAGTGTTTTCTCACAATATGTAGTTCATTTCTTTCAAAGATTAAATTTTAAAATTATTTTATATGCCCATAATCTTACAACATTCTGAGTTCTTTGTAGATGAAGATAATTGCATTTATATTTGTTATCTTGAGCACTAAACATAGTAGCATAAGGAAGTGAATATTCTCACTAAACATTTGTTAAATGAATGAATGTATGAATAAATAAATTCAAAAAGGTCTGGATAATGGTCCAACAAAAATTATGTTGTTAGAAAACTTGCTGAATATACAAAACAGTTCCAAACAGTCATAAAAAGTCTACTGATTATTAATCTAAGGTTGTTTTGAGACCACCTCACACAGACCGATATTTGCCTCTCAATATTCTGAATGATATAATTTTTCATCAGAATAATGAGTCATGGGAAGAATAGTTTAATTTTACATAACTTTAGCCAGTGTAAAAACTTGTAAAAGTACATCTATAAAATAGATATCTGCATTAATTTTAATAGAACCTTCATATAGGTTGAGGCCCATTGATCCTGGTGTTAAATGTTTGTTCCCATTATAGCTAACTACTATGATCAATTTTTATGTATTCAGATATATGAAGTCAGGCCATAACCCAAAAAAATATTCTCTAAAAAAGAATAAGAATTTGTGGAGCTAAAATCCAGTGAAACCTGTGCTGGTATTCAGATGGCTGGCCTGAATCTGTGATTGATACAAGAAGAGCTAATGAAAATTTTTTTATTAAATTAATAAAACCTTGTGTGAGGCTAAATATTATTGGATACTTCTAGATGGGATTACTTTTTAAATTTCTAATGTCATATCAGAGAACTCTATTCAATATAACATAATAGTAAGCATGTATTAGGTTCCTGTCATTTTCTATAACTAAACAGGTTTTAATTAAGTAGTAAGGTCCCTGCCAAATGTTTTTTTAGTTGTTGAAATGTTTTACTTGCTAATGTGGAAGACATATAGCAATATGTCAAAAATAATTTGATGTGAGAGGCATATTTGAATATCATAATATAATTTCTTTTATTTTACCTTTATGTGTGAAAACATGTATCTCATTTTACCTATTTTCTAATTGAGGACATGATATCTTATTAGAGTATGTATGATTAAAAACTGCATTTTTTTTGTGAGAATGACTCTTTAAATCCAATAGTGAGTAATTAAAAAGTCTAGTCAAACTTCACAAAATTATATTACATGATTCATAAATATAATTAACTGTCACAAAGCAATAGAGATGCTCAATGGGTCATGGGAGAAAATAAATTTTGAACATCTTACTTCCATATTATATACTGAAGTATTTTAAACTATATTTTCTTTATAACTTTTGTTATACTGATAAAATGTTAAATACTTAGTTGTATGATATATCATAATTTCCCACTATCATTTACATTAAAGAAGGTGATATCTTAATGAAACAATTAATAGCTATTTCCCAAAATACTGAATTTTATCTTTATGGATAAACAAAATGTTTAATATGCTATCCAATAATGTCATTTTTTAATGCATAACCATCTACAAAAACCTAGCACATTTAGCTTAGTTTTTCTTTTCTTTTTTGTCCCCCATAAAAAGTCAAAAAATTTTTTCTCTTCATGAGTGGCTGGTCTAAAATGAAGTTGTCCAAGAATAAGCTAAGAATAATAGGCAGTGAACTCATACATTAAGATCTGAGCAACCAATATGTAGAAAAGTCGAAGATATACTTGAATCTGTCAGATCCATACATTCCTGTAATTCCCTCAGGGGCAATCATAGAATTTGACACCAACATTTTAGGTTTGAAAATTATGTGACCATCTATTACATTGTGGATGGTACATGTCCTCAACCCTTTTTTATCACTTAAAACACAAGACAGGGCTACCCCATTTAAACAATCCTTTCTGTTATTGATAATTGCTTAAGCTGCTTGTTCCTTTCCTTTTCCAGAATGAAGAACAAATTTTGGTATTTTGAGTTTGGCACATCTGAAACTTTCTCAGCCACCTGCAAGAAGCTACATGAATCTGTAGAAATAGAAGTAAGAAAAATGAATTCTCTTTTATAATACTATGGAATGGCTTGAATTTGGTTATTAATATGTTTTTGCTAGTCTTATGGAAGGAGTTATGTTTTGAGCAATCCATATAGCTTTACCTGTGATTGTAAAATTTTATTTCTGTCACTCACTGGGAATCTAGCACTCTCTGAAATGTTTGTATAAAGTTAAGTTTGAGTATGAGTTATTTTAATGCAGTATAAAAGAATGAGAGGTGGAATACAACTTTAGAAATCAGTGGAGAAGTTACTAGACACAGTGTGAATAGAAGAATCTAAGATAAAAGAAAGCACTTGAAGAGATGAGAAAGTTGCAAGATACATTAAAAACTTATTATTTTCAGGTCTCAATATCTTATAACCTTTAAAACACAGTTCACAAAAATTGTACTTACTTTCATGAATAAAGGTTAAAAAGTATACTTTTCCATTCCATTCCCATTCATTAACTAGATTTTCTCAGTTCCTGAGGTTGCCATTTCCCCATTACATTTATAGAAAGTGGAAAAGCCAGGATACAGAGCAAAGATAGCAAGAAAAGATATACTTTAAAAAGATTTGTAGCAAATAGGTCTACCAAAAAATATAGACACTGTAGAACTAAAAGTTTTGAAGATGGGTTATGAGAGAAAATGACTTAGTTTTACTGAGAGATTTTAGAGCTTAAAGAATAGAAAATGTTATATTTTGATAATTGGTAAAAATAAACCATAAGGACAGAACTATGCAACAAGAACATGTAATAACTGATATGAATGGAGAAATATTGGCTATGGTACTTGTCATTTAAAAAATAAGTGAGAAACTTGTCTTCTGAGATCCCCATCATTAGTGACATATATGCAAGTAATTAGTTTGGTGAACAAAGGTAGTTGTGAACACATGAAATCATAATGGCCTGGCTTGGCTATTTATTTTCCTGCCTTTCTAATTTACTGATAATGATAATAACAGCAAAGGTGGTGTTATTTCACAATCTATCTTTTTTTTGGCCTTTTATTTCATCATGATTAGTGAATAAATTGAGGTATTAGAAGGAGAATTGGTGGTCACAGAATGGAAATTCTTTCATTTCTTAATTAGATCATAACCCTGAAAAGGAGTATAATTTCATTAAGTAAAGGTTTTTGTTGGGCTCAACATTGACTTTCTTCAATTGATATTCATGAACATATCTATGAGTATACATTATTTATATATACATAGTCTTATATATTTATATTGTTTTATATATGCATATATATTTATTAAACATACCTAAATCTCCCTTTCCCTTTTGAAATCTTATTTTTCTAAATCCTTTACATAGGGGATTTTGCAAATTTCTTACCCTGAGAATGCTCTAAGACAATCTGCCAAAGAAAGCAAAAATGAAAAGAATTATAAGTATGGTTTCTAGTTAAATGTAGGTGGATACTCTGAAACCTCCTGCACTTCCCTTTACTTTATCCTATCACTGAACGCAGGTTGGAGAAAAAATGATCAGAAGAGATACTTCATGTATGTGGAAAGGAAAACTCACTTTATGTATTCAATACAATCCCAATCAAAAACCCAATATCATCTTGTAATGCTGGCAACTGACTCTAAAGTTTATATGGAGAATTAAAAGGCCCAGAGTAATCAGCACAATATTAAAGGAGGGCAGAACTGAAGTACTGACACTACTTAATGTCAAGACTTACTACAAAGCTATAGTACTCAAAACAGTGTGATGTTGGTGAAGGAATAGACAAATTAATGGAGCAGAATAGAGATTCCTAAATCAGACCCCTGTAAGTACAGGTAGTTACCTATACTTACCTGATCTTTGACAAGGGAGGAAAGACAATACAATAGGGCAGAAAAGAGCTTTTTATCAAATGGTTCTGAAACAACTGAATATACACGAGCAAAAAGAAAAAAATAAAATCTAAACAGAAATATTCACTCTTACCGAATATTAACTCAAAATGGATCACAAGACCTAAATGTAACATGGAAAATTATAAGACTCCAAGAAGATAACATAAGAAAAAACCTAGATAGCCTTGGATATGGTGATGCCTTTTTAGATACACTCCAAGGACATGAAAAAATGATCGATAAGGGGACTTTGTTGAAGTTAGAAACTCTGCTCTGTGAAAAATAATGTTAAGAGAATGAGGAAACAATCCACAGATGGAGAGAAAATATTTGTGAAAGACATGTCTTACAAAGGACTCATCCAAAATATACAAAGAATTCTTAAAACTCAACAATAAAAAACATAAATAACCAGTTCAAAAACAGACCAAAGAGTTTAACAGCACCTCACCAAGAAAGATATACAGATGGCAAAGAAATTTATTACAGTGCAAATTGCAACAACAATGATATCTCACTACCCACCTATTAGAAGACTGAAACCATCAAATACAGGTGAGGATACTGAGCAACAGAAACTCATCCCTTGCTGGTGGGAGTGCAAAATGGTAGAGCTACTTTGGTAGACAGTTTGGTACTTTCTTATGAAACTAAATGTACTCTTATTATATGGTCCATCATTCATGCTCCTTATAATTGAAAACCAAAAGGAGTTGCGATCTTAAAACCTGCAAAAACCTGTATATGGATATTTATTACAGCTTAATTATAATTGCCAAAACTTGGAAGCAAACAAAGTTCTTCAGTAGGTGAATGGATAAATACATCACATAATTAAATATCCTATGTGTCACAAAATGAAAAATGTTCAAGGAAAATGTTGTATCATATAGCAACACAAATGTGAATGAAAATCACCATGGAAAACATTGATTGTAAAATCAGTGAACAACAAAATTAGTGATTTCCATAGAACAAAATTACTGTGCCTCACATCTTACAGAAAAACTATTTAGAATGGTCCCCACAGAAATCTGAACAACTAGAACTAAGTTGTTTTCCTTGGGGTGCGGTTTCTGTATTCCCCTCAAGTCTGACTTACCAGCTCTGTGCCTACCGAGTTGTCCGGCAACCACTGCAGTGACGTTTACAAATGAGAACCAGCGCTGCGCACTCCCCATTTTATCGTTGCGTATCTTGACATACTGTTCTAATTTTAGGTATCTATCTTAGTTCTAAAATTTTCTGTGTGTGTGTGTGTGTGTGTGTGTGTGAGTGTATGGATGGATGGTAATACAAAAATCTTATCTACTTTTTTATTTTTTTAATGAGTCCAGTCTATCATATTAGCAGAATATGCTTTTCTACCCTCAAAGTTACTTCGTAATTAAATATCACAAAAACAGCTATGTGGAAATTCAGTTGTGTTTCATGTTGCTTCCTATTTGGCCTAAAATTATACACCAACTATGCTTTCAAAATGTATATGTGAATAAAACCACTTCAGTACAAGAGGACTCATGTGATGGGAGTATATATACTTTATAAGCAGCTTCTGCAAAACAAAACATTTACCGCATTACCCTTCATTTCACATTTCCCTTTCATATGGGGAGCATTTTCTAAGTGGGTGAATGTTTGGAATAATATATATATCATGGGATACCAATTTATAATAATATAGGTAAGTTTTATATATTATTAATTTTACCTTATGCTTGCTGCTAAGCAATGTGCATACATTATTTGACTTAATCTCCTTCAGAATCTTATGAACTGGAGAGATTTTATGTCTCTATTGCAGAATTAAGAAGATGAATATTTTCTTTAATAATTTAAGAGAAATAAGAATTGCTGCCAAAAGGTTTAAATCTAAGGAAACAAATAAACTAGATCTTATACATACATATGTGTGCATGTGTAAAATGGCAATATATATGTAATATACATGGAAGGGAGAGATGAACAAAGTTGAAATTTTAATTTTCAGAATTTCAGTTATCTTCTAATTTTGTTGTAAGAGATAAATGAAAATATAATGAAAACCTTTAAAATTTCAATATAATACATTAAAAACAAAATTTGTATTAAAGTATTTGAGACATGCATCTAAAGGTCTCAAGTTCATGGATTTTTAATTTGCTCTACATACTAAGCAAAGTTCATGAGAGAACAGCATAGCCCATTCTCCAAAATATTTCAGTCATTTTTTTTTTGGTGGTCAGTAAGTCTAGGAAGGGTGGTAAGTGTTAAGGCCAAGGCCAAGAACGCCCATCACAAAATACTGAGATTTGTCTGAAAGATTAAGTACTTCTATAAAACCTTAAATTATCTCAAGAATTAATAAATGGCAATAAGAGTGTCAGGTACACAAATAAATTAGCAAGTTTCAAAAGGTAAAATTCTTATTGCTACCCAGTAAACGAGCAACAAAGCCCTTATAGACAGTAGGGTCCAGTTTTTCAACTTAGTCTGTGTCCCACCTGTATCAAAATCATCCTGGATGATGCTCTTTCAGCATGTGTTTAGAGGACCCTTCATCTAGTCTTAGCTGGGGCAACACACTGTATTGGGGTGGGGAAATGAAACTTTTGAAAGGACATTCTTTTTTTTTTTAAACCACTTTTTTTGAGGCATGGTTATACATAATGTATACAACTTACGAATTTGGAAATAAGCATATTACTATGAAACTCTGTTTACACTCCATGCCATCAATATATCCATCAGCTCCAAAAGTTTCTTCCTGCCCCATTTGTGTGTGTATGTGTGTGTAAGAGAGAGAGAGAGAGAATACTTCAAAGATCTATCCTCTCTTCTAAAGATTCTCAGGTGACTTATTTTTTGCAATGAAATTCCAGAAGCAGTGATGTAGGGATACAGTTGAACCTCAACAAAGATGGTAATAGGAAACCAAAGTTGGCCTCATTAAGTCCAAAACAAACAAAAAATATCTTGTTATTCCAGAAAAGAACAAGAAATGTGGTGAGGGTGAGGCATAGCATTATCACTTCATTAAGACTACTATGCCATCGATTTTCTTAGTGAAGAGAGTGGGGAAGAAATGTGAGGTAAATAAAAGAGTGAACAGCCCAAAGCTGAAAGTTCTGTGTTTACCAGATGTTATTTTTAATAAGATAACTATAAGTAAGAATTCTAATTATCCAGCAATAATTTCTAGCTATCACAGAATCTACTAAAAAGGGAAAATGTGCAACTAAACTGGATTTTCTGTTAATACTACGGTCAATGCTTGATATCTTGAATCAACAATATTACTAAAGTTACCCAATAAGCATGTTCTGAGCCCCTCTATCACATTGCTTTTTTGGTAGATAAAACTGATAAAAAGTATTTTTAAAAACATGGAGTTTAATCAGTGGGAAAATGTAGAGTACCTTAACGTTGAAATATCAGAAGAGATACTGTTGAGCCACTTATGTATATATGTCTAATTTATAGGTTTGTTGCTGTAGTTTTCAGCAAAAACATAATTTTGTCTTATAAATTAACTATGAGTTGGCAGAAACTCTTCCAAAAGCATACTTAGATAAGTCATTTTACTCCACACCATTTTATACAATGAACAAAGCAATGTTCTTATGTTTTATTGAGAAAAATATGAATAATTTTATCTGACCTCAGGATAAAATTGCACTATGAAAAAATATAGTTTATAGTTAATTTACTTCATCAAATTTGTTGTCCATATTTACAGCTCTCCAGTGTTCTTCACATTTCTTGAATTTTCCTATCAAATGATACTTAGTGGAATCTGAAACACTAAATTCACATCCTCAACACCTCTGTATAGTATGGTCCAGGGTATATTTGTAAACTGGGATTGAAATACATTGGCAAACAAATGTAAACCATCTTTTCTTCTTTTAGGAAAATTTCTCAAAAATAAGCTCTGTCCTGTAAAACTGAACAGAGCAGACAGCGGCATCACAGCATCGCACTTTGCAAATAGTTCCCCCGGTACTACATGTTAACGACCTTTTTCTACATAATAAAAATATTCAAGATTTATTGACTAACTGAGGCTGTTAGCTTTTAAGCTTTTATATTCTTTTCCTCTGTAGCTACCTTTTAAAAAATCATAAATCTTCAAAGTGGATGAAAATATTATCTGACAGAGTATTATAATGTGTTTACACTTCATAGCCCTCACCTCAGCTTTTATCTCCATGCCCTCCACCGGGGTACATCGGACAACTCCTGGTCTCCATCTGAATGAGCCCTGAAATTGTCCAGACTAACAAACATAACGTTAAAGCAAACAGAGGAAGGTAACCTGGGGTCAAGAACTAGTGGGAACATATCATTAATAAGTAGCAAATTATGTAAGAACAGTGCTCTCCTCTCATAGAAGCCTCAATGTTCTTTATCGGGCCTTGTTTTAGGGGCCTCCTTAAGAATGTTTTTTCACTTTTCAGAGAGCTACTTCATCTGTTTCCTTAAAACTACATGTGACAGGACTCTGAAGATTGAAAAACACGAATAATAGTATACACTGATATTTTTCAATTGTCACATGTAGCTCTCCAGTTCAATTTTTTTAAGCCTATTTGCAGAGGAACAAAGGAATACTCCTCTAATTCTGAAAGTAACTTGTCACAGTGGGGTTCTAAGGCCTAGTCAAATAATTGTCTTAGTGTACTACCTGCTGTGTTCAATATTGAGTGAAAATGGAAGCCAGGCCCCGACTCCAGTTTATTTTGCAATTCTTCTGTTATTTAAATGATTTTAGTCAGTTTGGGGGAAACCAGACCTTTATAAATTAACAGCAGGGAAATACCAAAGGTGTCAGATTGCATATTTATCATCTTTTTCGTGTAATACTTAAATATGTATTAAGGAGTGACTGACATAAATTAGGCAGATTTCAGAAGCCACAGGCCATGGCTTGTAGGGGACCCCCTTCTGCTTGACATTTCATCCTTGTCAAAGATCAAATTATTTTAATTTAGGCTGCAAATTATAAGGAATGAAGACTTCTTTGTGGGAATTCCCTGTGGTAATCTGACTTTTGTTGTTACTGCTGCTTGTCAGTGTGCAAAAGATATAATATGCATGCAAATAAGGTTAAAAAATATGTACTATCTAATTATCCAGCCAGTACATTCCACTTGAAGACGGTGGGAGGCCTGGCACACAGTGTGTGTTTGATTCATTGCGGCCTGCAGGGTATTTACACAAGATTACTTTTAATTATGAAATTAATATCTGTTTATCTAGAATATATAGCGGTAAGTGAGTATACACATGAGTAGAATTCTTTAGTAAAAAGAAATCATCTTCATTTAATACATGAAAAGGAAGGAAAAAATCGCTCATTTCTTGGAGGGAGAAATGGCATCCTCCAGACCTTGGTTTCACCCTCATTGAAACAAATTGAATGAAAACTTGGCACCTTCTCCAGAATTTGTTCCTAGCCCTGCCAAGTAGGCTCAAGATGTGATGCTTTATTTCACAGTTTTTATATTTTAGTGAACAAGATGCAGTTTAAGGTTCAGTGTGATCAGGAAAATGTGGTGGGGGGGAGGTTTTCTATTTGTTTGGTGTTCGTTTTTACCATTTTGGGGTAGCATTATGTCTTCTAGGTTCAGAAATCATGATCATCATGAGAAAGAAAATGGTACATTTACTACGGTGGTTTTTTTTTTTCTGTAATAACACCTGACACATAAAACAATCTCACTGTAGATATCCTTCAAGTTGTGAAATATAGAGCCCTAACAAAATTCTTTGTAAAACTAACTGTTGTATGTTTACATCTCTCTTCTCATATTAGCTTATAACAGAACACTGGAGAACAATGTCTGAGATATATTTGTAATGACTACCATTTCAGAAAACTCAGAACAAACGAGCAACTCCAAAAATACAGCACAGCCTTGTCACTCTCCACACAGGTCCATCAGTGGAAATGAACAGAAAATTCAAAAAATGTGAAAAGTGGCCACTCTGAATCTCACAAAGCATAGTCTGTTAGCAAGTTTCATATTTCAGATAAACAAGAAAAAATCTGCTTGCTTAATGGTTTCTATTTTTTTATTTGTACTGCAGCTATAGAGTAAGCATGGGTTGGTGATTGCGTTTCCTGCTACTCTTGGCGTTTCCCTCCCTCAGCCTGCCTGGTCCTCCGTATTCGTTTAGACCGCTGTGCCTCTCATTGCCTTTAATGCAGTTACTTGGAACTTAATCTAGATCAAAATATCATCTCTGGACACACTAATGTAATTCAGAGCTCTTGCAATTGTTGTTTTGTACTTTTTCTTTCTTCAACTGTTGCAAAAGCCACTTCTTTCTTTGCCCAAGAAGTGAGACCATGAATTATGAATTTTGTTTTTTCACTTTCCCCTAATATTGCTTTGTAGTGTGTTTTAAGTAGGAGGCAATCATTTAGATTTTGACCTAAAATTTGACCATACTTGGCAGAACCAACCTATTTGTAACACAGTGGAAATTTATGATGTGTTATATATGCAGATACTAACGTGCCTCCCTCCCAAAGGTTTTCTGTAAACAAAGAGACACTGATGATTCGGTTTGATCAATTTTAAAGACTATGAATAATAACAGGTTAATGTGAGTGTCCACTTTCTATTTATATTGACATTTAGGGAAACTATTTAAGTGTTCTTGAAAAGCTTATTTAGAAAGGAAAAGATGATGGGTTTTAAAGTTCTTATTAAAAGATAACAAAATGCAAAAAGAGAAATTAAGAAAAGAAAGATAAAATAGCGTATGTGTTCTTTTCTCTTTTACTGCTCAGTGTGATGGAGTACAGATAGACTTAATAAACATCTCTCTGGAAGGAATTGCTATTTTGAATATACCAAGCATGCATGGAGGATCCAATCTTTGGGGAGAGTCTAAGAAAAGAAGAAGCCATCGCCGGATAGAGAAAAAAGGGGCTGACAAAAGGACCACACTCACGGATGCCAAAGAGTTGAAGTTTGCAAGTCAAGGTAAGGTTTCTAACATTATCTGTTAAGTTTCTCTTAATTGGCTTTCAAAGTCTCTGTTACATTTAAAGAGTTTTCCATTACACTATAGTCTATATACTTATACAGTTGTATTTTTTGTAATATCTGATATGCATGTGTGATTAAAATTATATCTTAATAGATTCTACAGTCATGTAGAATCTATTTTTTTTTGGATTTTTCCAAAAAAAATATTTTTCATGGATTTTTTTCTCCTTTGGATATATATCTTCCCACAGAAAACAAATACACGTAGAAATTCAGTGGAACATAATATAGTGTCTATTGTATATTAAATTCTGGAATGTTATTGTCTGGGTCAGAATGTTTGAGTTGCTCTAACAAGGGCCTAGCTAATGCTTTTCTAAGGTTGTGTTACAAGGTGTTTTATTCTTTGCTTTGTTCAGTCAGGTTGTGACAATGAAGTATCTTATATTAAGCTATTGTTCTATGTTCCATGTATAATAGCAAGTTTAAATATTCCACAATAAATCTTAGTTATCAGCTGCTATTGTTTCTAAAATTTAATAACAACAATTAGGAAACTTGGGAAACAGAGGACAAAGGACTAACAAAATATGGTAGAATAGCTGTGGCTCAGAATTTTCAACTGCATTGTAACATATTTGACATTGGGACTTAGCAACCAACTCTTGTTGATGAATTTTATAAACAAAAGTATCAAATTGGTAATATTCTAATTGTTGATCATGTCAAAATGATTTATATATATTATGCATAGTATTTCTTTGCCTTCCGGAATCTACCCAATACCACTGATGACATTCAGACGTCTAAGAAAACATATTAGCTGAGCTCAGTGTAAAGACAAAATGTGAAGTTATAGCCTTATTATCGACCCAATAGAATAATGAGTATTTTTTAATAAATAATATGTGAGGGTGGTTGGTAGGTTTGATGGTGAAAAGAAAGAACTTTATGTTTTGATGTCTTCAGGTGTCCGATGAAAGTTGCAGTAGTAGGTAGAACCTTCTGTTACGTGGAATTTGGTGACTCTGAGAGTGACACATTGATGGAGAAAGTATTAGGTATCCTCTGGAAAGAAGTGTTTATTACCACCTGCCAATGACAGGAGTTTTTGATGCCCTTTAAATGTGTAGGTAACCTTAAAAAGGTAAACCTTGAAAAGTAGTATAATTTATTGATTTAGTACTTTCAATATTATTTTGTCTTGGTTTCCAGTATACAGCATAGCTGTTGGACAATCATATACTTTACAAAGTGTTCCCCTCTGTATTTCCAGTACCCACCTGGCACATACATAGTTATTGCGATATTATTGGCTCTCTTCCCTATGCTGTACTTTATATCCCTGTGACTATTTTGTAAATGCCAACGTATAGTCCTTAATTCCTTCACCTCTTTCATTCAGTCCCCCAAACACCCTCCCCTCTGGCAAGTATCAGGCCACTCTCTGTGTTTATGAGTCTGTTTCACTTTTGTTGGTTCATTTATTTTGTTCTTTAGATTCCACATATAAGTTAAATTATATGGTATTTGTCTTTTTATCTGATTAGTCAATCAGATAACTTCAAAAGTAGTGTAATTTAATGCAAGCAAGTTTATACAAAATTAATTAAAATTCTTTGTGCTCTGAATGAATACATGAAAACATGGAGAAAATATTTTTAAAGGAGAAATACATAGAAAAATTAGTAGGTATGTGCATATAAATTTTAAAATGAATGCAATTAGGAATATTTATTAATTTCTAAGAGAGTTATTATTGTCAATATTATATTTAAATATAAATTTCTAAGTCATAAAATTAGTTCAAGGACCATACTAAGATCAACGTTAAAAAGCTTGGCTCTCTCCCTAGGTAAGCAGAGTCCCTAATATAGTATTGCTATATTACATAGCAATTGCAAAAGTTTTAAATACTACATATACTAATTTCCAGAAAGATTTTTCTATTTGGTCACTATACACCAGTACTTGCCATGTCCTTTGAATGTGGATATTACAGTTTCATATCTGAATTGATTCTCAGTGCTTAACTGCTCATTGTTCAATAACCACTGAGCTATTAAAGTTCAAAGACTCATAGCTATGCTTTACCAAACAACCATGTGCACAGCCCTATGCAGCCACTGCAGACATACCATTTGTTGTTCTCGCTCTTCCCTTCTGTAAGCTTCTTTCAAGGATATCCATTTGGAATAAAGCACAGACAAGTCAGCCAGAACTATTCCCATAGACTATCAGTGCTCGTAACTTTATAGGAAAGAGTATCTCTCCCCATTGTATCTTCTTGCTGTCTACTGCAGAACTATTAGGACCTAGTTTTCATAAACTTCAGAAAGAAGAAAGTGGAAAGCTATAGGGTTTGTGACTTAAGAATACTTATTCTCAGCAGAAACATGGAGAAAAACAATAAAAATTAGAGTTTTTGAAGGTCATGTGTGAGCGGCAACAGAAGCATATCTATAACTAATTTGAGTCCATTTTTGTTTGGTTGGATATAATTTGGAAATGTATTCACATTCACACTCCTCTAATTCAGTAGACTTATTATAAAGAATTTTATTTATTTCCAGAGAGAGGGGAATGGAGGGAGAAAGAGAGGGAGAGAAACATCGATCAGTTGCCTCTCACACGCCCCCAACCAGGCATGTGCCCGACTGGGAATCCAACTGGCAACCTTCTGGTGACAGTGCTCAACCCACAGAGCCACACCAGTCAGGGCCATAGATTGTTTTCTTAGTGGGTTTGTCTTCCACTGTTTTATCTCTCTCTGAAAACACAAATGAGTGTATTATGTATAGACAGCAGGTGTTTGAGCCAAATCGTAAGGCAGGCAAGGTAAGTTTCCAGTGATCTGAATAGTCAGTCTTCCCCATTTGTTTTAGTTGCTGAGTTCATCCTTACTGCCCCCTCTTCTGAATTAAATCTAAGCCTCAGCAAGATGTATAATAAATTTATTCACATTAATGTATAAATGACTGATTGCAGATGAAAGTAGAGATATTTGCATTTTAAAAGAAATAAAGGCCTTCAGCTAAACCATTATATTTCAAACTGTATTCTGTTGAGTTATAACTGCAGTTCTTCAGATGTTCTCTTAAATTCCTCAGAGGGTCATATTCATTATTGCCATATTTTGAAATAATAAAAACTAATAAAAACATCCTAAAGTGTATCTGATAAAATAATATTTTGTCGTATTAATTACTCTCAGATATTTAAATTGTGTTATCAGTCAAAAATAACCTCCTCTCAACTTGCTCCTCCTCCCCTTATTTTCAATTGATTGAAAATGATTTGAATCTATTGAGACTGGGAAGTAGGGAAGAAATGTCAATTTAGGTCAGAGTGATTAAAGAGAGTAAAGGAGTTGGTATCCGTGAAAGCATTACAAAACTTGAATTCCTTTTGCCTTGGAAGATAAATAAAGTTATTGGCTCTGATATCGTGTCTTTAAAATGGGGATGGCGAGGGGCTGAGGATAATGCATGCGCTGTGTGTTGTGTTGCCTAGAACAATGCATGTGCTGAGGTTAATGCATGTGCTGTGTGTTGGATGGAAGTACAAAGAGTATGTACATAGTTAGACCCCAACCCTTTCTGTACCTTGTAATAGTTATAGTTATCTGACTATAACTATAGTTTGTCGGAAATGGACATTTTTCATCCATTATTACAAACCATTCAAGATATTACTGTGGGTTATTTAGGGTAATTTAGAAGTCAGTGTTTTAGGGTGTCTAAATATAACCGTGAAATTCATTTCAGAACTGTAGATGATGTGTTTGGCATTCAAGCAACGGCAAGCAGAACAATTTCCAAACATTTAAATTCAGTGATTAAATCAGTTAAATTTAGAAACAAGAAAAGGATTTCATGTTGCATTATTATACCTGTATATTAAAACTATTGAAAAAAGATCATGATGTTTGAGATGTTTCATTTCACAAAAATACATGAATGTACTACTGCACTGATAAATTCATTTGTTGAAAATAGATAGATCTAACCATTAGCTATCTAGTAAACTTTAAGGAGCTGTCTCAAAATGAGTTTATAATTGTATGTTTTTTAAACATATGATTGATAAGACCTCAAAATCATTTTGGATAAGCAATCACTTTAATGGGAAATTTGTATTTTATTATAATTCCATAAATAAGATCATTTCTATTAAAGGCTTTTTCTTGAAAACAAGTTAAAATTAGGAAAATGTAGAAATTCCAAAGACTAGGTAGGTAGGAAAAGCAGAATTAGGAGCAACTTGATTTCACTGCTGAACCTGAGAAAGCTTGAGAAAAATGATTTTTTAGTGACAGCCACATATTGAAAAATATATGATTTGGCAATCAATTTAATAGATGCAAGGGAAGAAGAAAAGGAATTTGTTCACTTGAGGTTTTAAATTAAGGCTTAGCTATTATCCCCTCTGACATCTGAGGAAAAATACCTTATTTTCAAAATGCTAATACTGTTTTGAGAACCTCTACATTTCTAGCTATTGATTTTAACTGTAACTTCAGAGAAGGATGAAAAATAAAAATGTTTTAATGGGTCATTTTCTTTACAATGTTAATGTCCTATATCAGCGATAAAATGACCATCTTATTTGTTTCTGTGACACTGTATCCAATTCTAAGTATGTTTAAAATAATGGCAAGTCATCTACACAGACTAAGACTGAATTATAAATTTAAGTAAATTTAAATTATGCAGTGGTGGAAATATAAAATATATTTTCAAGTTAAATATTGGTTGGTATACTAGCCTCAACTAATTAAATAACACTCGTAAAGCATGCTTTCCAATATTAGTCACATGAAGTTTCCAAATATAAGACCATGCATAGAGGTTCCATAAAGCCCTATAGTAATCTTGCCACTTGAGGGTAATGATTTGAAGCTCATGTAATAAATGTGTCCCAGGGAACTTAAAATAATTTGCATTATAATCAGAACATAAGATAACAAATTAGGGAGGAGTTTTTAAAAAATA